GTCCTTGTATATCCTTCGTGGAATAGGAGGCATTTCCTCTCAATCTGTGCATTTCTGACAGCTGCTGATCAGCATTTCTTAAAACCAAGTAGCAAGTCGCCATATCACAAAGCCTGCAAACTTTCACTGTCATCTGATTACAGTCGAAAGATACCAAATATTCATGCAAAGTAGGTAAGGGACTGCAGAATTTCACGATGCTCACCTGCAGTTCAGGTCGTCAGCATTATCACTGATTTCTCAGTGTTCTTCATTTGGTGAATTTTGCTTTTTTCTAATGGCACTTCACATTTGCTCCATGCATGTTAGCGCAACTGTGGTGTCTCTAACAGGAAGCAACTGCTTCAGCTATAGAAGCTGATTCGCCCGTCTGCGGCATACAACCAGGAAAAAATATCTGCTCCTAACATCTGACCAGATGATAAGCCTTTTGACAATGACGAACTGTATAAAAAGGGCCGTATCTCGGTGTACCATAGGTACTTGACGATTAAGTGCGTATATAAGTGCCTTAGTAATGTGTACTGATATTAGCCTTTATATATGTACTGATATAAGCCCCCGGTTATAAAACCGCAGTAAATGATTGCTCAATGAGTGCTGGGTATGCATTTTGTACTTTGGACACCAATATAATGGAGTCTGCATGAAGGTACATCGTATTCACACAGAATCGCACACAGTTTCATCAATTTTCATTAACAGCCAGTATCAGCTGATGATGTTTGTTATCCCTGCCTGTCAGACCTCTTGATAATTTATTATTTAAAGCGCTTCTTCCCATCATGAAGTCTTGAATGAGGGCGGCATGATGATTCAAAGCGCATATGCTTCGAATCATTAAAAATATGTCGAAATGGCCGAAACGTTGTTAAGCCAACGATCCTGCTAAATTTTGCTTAGACAATTACGATCGCCAAAATCAGCAGAACTACTTTCTTACAATCACACAGTCTATATCTTGAATTGATTATTTATTAAGATTTAAATTTCTAAAAGGTTTATCATTCATTTAGTTGCTTGTTCCTTCATTCGTTTTCAAACCTGCTTTTCCTGGTTACGTAAGCATCTGGACAACAGCTTCAGACGGTGTATCTCCCATGAATCAGTCCTTCCACAGAGATTGATGCAACAGTCTGTCTGCTCTGTCAGTCAGTTCCTCCGCTGGCACCTTTGTCACACGTCTAAATCACCTCAGTTTTTGCCACTGAATCTGAAGGAGCGATTCTAAATTGAGGGCATTTGACAGTGCGGTGTTTCAAAGTTGGTTGACCACAGCAGTAGCCTTTGAGCGAACCTCATTTCTGCCACTGGTGTTGCAATCCATACGTTTCAAATTATTATCGAACAAAATCTACCTTGATAGATCCACATTGCATAAACATCTGGCAATATGAAAAAATATGGTTTCGTTCTCATGGTGTATGTTAATAATGATGTAACTGCACTTGATCAGATTCTTGTTCATTGCGCGTCACCCCATTGCGCCTATATTTCTAGGGGACAAAATTGAGCAGTTTATGGATCACTCGCAGTGTGTAGGTGCATCTCGCATAATTTATATCATTAAAGCAATGTTCTGTTTCCAAAAATATTCATACAGAAGCAGAAAAAGAATGTAAAAAATATGAATGGTCGTTTCGAAATCTTAAGCTGAAATCAAAACCGTTTGATGAATCATTCAGCATTAAGCAAAGAACAACACGAACATTTTAATATTCCCACTCAATGCAAAGTTTAAGCAAATTTTTATATGAGCTGATGTTTTAGGCTTTGGCCAAAGCTTTTCAAGATGCTTGACGCCTATTGCAGTCACCTTTGCATTCGATGATGCTACACGACAGATTGGCATATCGCTACAAAACGTAGGGGACGGAGTAGGTGGCGTTCTTTTCCCAATAATTCTTGAGTCCTTGAGAGAAACTTACCATTGGAGAGGTGCCGTGTTCATTACGTCTGCGATCGTTTTAAATTTGGTAATCGGTGGGGCCGTAGTGCAGAGAGGTCTTGGGGGCAACGGCAGCAAGCGTCGTTCGCAAAATGAAAATCAAGCATTAGCAGAAGATGAAGACGAAATCAGTTGGTTCCCAAACGCTTTCCTCTTTTTCGTGAACCTCTTCTGCCACAGCTTCGGCTACTACAACTTCAACACGTTCATTTATACTTATATGACCGGTGTTGGCGTATCGTCGTTCAAAGCCTCCATCATATTTTCCATGGTTGGAGGCATTTCCATCATTGGCAGGCTCTTGGTGTCGCTTATGGACAACAAGCGAGTGGCCAGATGGCAGGTTTATGCGGCCATGTTTCTTCTGAAAGGCTTGTCGGTTATGCTGTTCAATCTGACTCCGACGTCTGGCATGGAAGCCCTTTATTTCGTACTTGCATCCATGTTTGGATTCTCTGATGGCGTCACCGGTGCGCTTGTTCCTTTGGTATGCGTCGATCTACTGGGTCTGAAGCGGATGGCGTTATATTATGGAATTGAAGAGTTCTTTATGGGCTTTGGAGCAATGGTCGGAGTTCTCGTCGTTGGTAAGTATATAATCATAATTTAATTTCTTCCATGAAGGTCCGTGTTCGTGTGTGTTTATAGAGCTCATCATTTTGAGATGTTTGTAAAACAGAACGTCTCTGGTTTTTGATGTCCATTGTACTACCAGCTTTGCCGCACTGCTGCTATAGGGCACACGAGTTAATGCATCGAAGAAGAAGGAAATGCTCATTTCCTTAAACACATCTGCTTCTACACTATTCCACAATTTTGCATGCTGGTCGACGTCTGCCGTATTTTAGCTTCCGCACGAGAAGCTCATAGCTGGAGAAAATTGTTTGTCCACCCAGGACCAACTTCCTTTCTTGTGCCCGAATGATGGACACATTCGACAAGATTCGAAGCACTAAAGCATTTAGTGGCTTTTAAAAATTAATGCTTAATTTAAAGTCCTCGTTTCTTCATTCTTCTTAATTTAAAGTCCTCATCATTGATGGTAGGTTCATTTGATTCATCGTCCAACCATCGTTCTTCAGCGACGATGAGTAAACTCGATGAGTGTGCAAACAAAGCAGGAGAATACATACCTCTCGAAGTAGCTCAACGAATGTACCATGAAAATGAATGCCACAGCCATTACATGGCCTCCTTTTTCTATTCCGTTTCCTGAGTGACACATAAGAGCAAAGTGGGGACAGATTGTTAGAGTACTGAGCAAACTATGGGATCATTATGACATACACTCGGCGTGCTAACCATTTTATCATAAATTGTCGAGAAAACGCTGTTCCCTGTCAGGGAACGCTCATTGTTGTCCGGATGATTTTTATTGTTTCAAATGAATGGGCTTACTTTTGGCTAGATGTAGCCGTCACATGATTGATGAGACTCTCTCTTCTATGATAGAGGTCATGCAATTGCATCCTAAAGGAACATATGCATTTCAGACATTTCATGTTATCAATAAGTGAATCAATTAACTGTTATTTAAACAGGCGACGAATATTTCCTTCCGTACCGACTTAATTCATAGGTTGATATTTTGGATGATATATCATCAGCATAGAATGAAGAATTTATATTGCAAAATTTATTAAGCAGCGAATTACCGAAACTGCGATATAGTGCATTTGATATTGATGGCACATTCTGCCCTGATTATGAGTATTACATTATCCAGAACGTTATCTTCTCTGAATGAAATCGTTCGACTTTCGCAATTTTCATGAATATAACCTATGAACTGGAAGACTTATTCTTTCCATACACTAGTCTGGTGCGCACAAATCTGACTGGAAGCTTATAGAAAATTTGAGGTGTTGTCGACATGCATAAATTAATGATATCAGTTTTAAGTATTATCTCAGTTCTATATTTTTTATGTCTGGTTTTTAGGCTCTATTAGAACCGCGCTAGATAGTTTCGAACTCGCTCTGTATCTGTCAGGAGCAATTTTCTGTCTCGCTGGCTTCGTGATGATTCCGTTATTTTGGACGAAAAAATATTATCAATTACCAAGAAGCGAAAATA